CTGGGCTTCTAGCACCCCACCTGCAGCCGTGAGTTTAATCCCATTGAGGTCAATTGGGCAGTCACCTTATTGCATCAGAATTGGTGTATTCTATCCGTTCGAGTAGGCTGGGCGGTTAACATGACCCGGTGGGGGGAAGCGGCTCAGTTGGTTAGATCGCTGACTGTACTAAAGCCTGCGTCATGCTGGCGTAGGTTTGAATCCCACCGAGGCCGCCGAGTTTTTCATATTTGTGTCCAATGAATTATTCAATTGTCATCGGGCCAGTACATTTATATGGGATTGGGTACAAGTTAAAACGTGTTTGTCTTTTCGTACGATTGAGTCGTGGGAATAGGGGGGGGAGGGGGTTGATGAGAGAAGGCTGGTTATGAGCACAGGGTTTTATGGAGCCAGTCTAGGGGAGGGGAAAGAGACAAGCAGAGCGCAGGCGAGCGCATACCCCTGAATGACTGTGCGTCACATCATATGCGGAGCTTGTACGAGGTTCTTTTGTGCACGCAACGCCGGCTTCATCAACCTGATAGTGGTCACTTCTGTTGTTGCTAGCAGGCGCTGATCCAGGGGCTTCGGATAGTTTGGTGGGGCCTTATAGATCACCCAGAAGGTTTCTTTGGGGTTCCCATGATGTCCGAAATCGATCATGTGCGCCAGAATAGAGCTGTTTATGCCCCTTCACCTTTTCTCAGCCATGCCGGGAGGTGTTCCTTTATTCTTTTGTTTAGGCGCCGACTCGTGCGACCTATATAACCTGCTCCACAGGAGCAAGTAAAGGAGTATATGCACATGGAGGTGATCTGAGCTGACTATCTATCCTAACCTTTCCCATATAAGACGGGGTTGGTTGAGAATAATACCCGTTTCCATATAAACATACTGGCTCGACGAGAATTTATCGGAAGCCTACATACGCTCGTCAACTACTCTTCTGATGGGAATTTTTGCAACTTTTTTCAAATCTGCCAGATCTTCCCTGCTGAAAACGATTTTACTTGGAAATTCTCCCTTGTTTGTTCCTATCACTGTGCTTTCGTCGCTGTTCCCTATAAGCTGAAGCATTTCCCCAGTTCTGTTTTCCATCTAGTGCTATAAGCGCGCTTTTTTTGCCTAAGTTTTTCCGCACACAGGTGCAGCAGCAGCCAAATGCTCAGTTGCAGTGTGGCTGGGGTTGTTTTCTGCAGGTTAATCGACATCAAAGCCCTCACCACCTTGCGCCGACAGTTTTGGCCCCCAACTGCATTTCTGGTTTGCATAATTCAGAGCAAACTGCCTTTCAAGGCAATTGGCCCGGTTTATGCACACACGCACACACCTGCCTTTAAAGATGCCAGCCGTCTGCTTCTGACCACACCCCCGTCCCCGCTCCCCCGCCTCGCCCCCCGCCGTACCATCTGCGGCTTTAAGCGTCGGACCGTTTTTGGCTATTAGTGTGTGTGCTGTGGTCGTCAAAATTGGTTGGGATCCGTGTTTGCAAAGGGTGACCGGCGTACGCGCATGAGTGCGCATTCCTTTTTTTACCCGATTCGTTGAGAATGTTGTCATAGGTTGTGATTGAAACGTTCCTCTTTTTACCCTCTCTCCACCTATCAACCTAGACTGCTAGGCTTTTGTGCTGCCCCTGTGGCCTGATGCCTGGGAAGCGGTGAGGTGGGACGTTAAAGGACATTTGGCAGGCCTAATTTTGTTCATTTTTGGGATAATGACGCGTGTCTGTTTCGTTTGTGCGGCAGCGGTGTCTGTTGCTGCAGTAGCTGGCCCATCGCATAAGATGTTAACCGAAATTCTCAATTGTTCAGCTGCTTAATCTCCCTAGAAATTAATTTCTCTTAGTGGTATACATCAGCATATTTAAGGTCTATAGGCATAGACCGAAATTGAATGTGTATGTTTGGCCTGAAAACCGGTCACTCACTGCGTAATATACACATGCTGCCAACGGATAAACTGTAATAGTATATACTAATGTTGTAACTTACTATACTAACAGCCCGGGTGCTAGATAAGAGGCCCATTTACATGTGTTTTGCCGGTTTTCTGGCGCTGCTGGACACAGCTACGAGGGATCCGGCTCATCAATGTGTCTGGCCCTTTTAGCTGGTACCTAGGCTGTTAGTATGGTAAGTTACAACATCAATATATACTACTAAAGTCTCTTTGTTGGCAGCAAGTGGATATTTCGCAGTGGTTAACGGGTATCAGTCCTAATATGCACTTAAAATGTCAGTCTACGCCTATAGACCGTAAATATACTGATATATACCGCGAACAGAAATTAATTTCTCAGGAGATTAAAAAGCTGATCTATTTGACTTATCTTAAAAAAATCCTCAGGGAACAATCCAGGCCATTCATAATGCGGAAGGTTAATGTGAGATTCCTTCGTAGTTGCGTGTAGTAGATCGGAAAATAGGTTGAGAACCGGCTGTCTGTTTTCATAGGGCAGTGTGCCTAACCTTTGATCATTGTTGTCGCTTGTCTCTAGACCTTCTCTTAGACGCTACAGTCTTTCACAGTCCAAGGTGTCCATGTCTATATAGCGATTTATAAGTGCGGCCGAACGAAGCTTCCAAATATTTTGGGGAGTTGTCTTTTTCCAACCCCCATAAAGGCTCGCCTAATTGGTTGCAATATAGATCTGGCCCGCTTCGCTGTCTTCTTGCAGTTCACTGTTGGTTCGAATGAACAAGTACGCCACACACTCCCAAGTCCTCCTGACCGTGCACTTGCTGCAACGGTTTACAGTTTAATAAGTAAGTCTTCGGGCCGTCAGGCTCTACGATTGCCGATTTGAAGAAGGTTACATTTGCTAACATTGAAGGCATAAGCCAGTGCTTTTAGCAGTTTGTTCAAGTTATTTGCAGATGGTTTCCATCCACTGTATGTTGGACAATGAGCTTGTCTCCTTTTCTCTTTGCTTTTACTCTAGCCGCATTTCGACCTCTCCACCCCTGTCTCTTCATCTTCACTGCAACAGCGGGTGCTGGACTTCTCCCATGAATGCTATGCACGGTTCGGTCTGATTGGCGTAAGTCCGATTGTGTCTTACATCTTCTGTGGGAGGGGGGGGTGATTTGTCTTTGTCTTTGACTGTTAACAATAACCTAGCTTTATCTTTGCAGTGACCTGACTTTCCCCTTTTTCGTTAAATTCCGTCAATATAAAGTCAAATCTCCCTTTATCGTAAAATTCCGCCAAGATAAGTTTGAATTTTCCTTAATTGGCATCAGTATCCTGCGCAACAGGAGTTTATGTTGACGTTTTTTTCTATTTAGTACATTGAAACAAATTATGAAGATAAGGGCTCATTTGGGAAGATTCAAACTTGATTGTGTACATTTTCGAGGCAGGTTCCCCCGCTCGTCTTCAGACGTGAGAAAATGCTTAACAAACACGAATGAAGAAGAACGTTCGCGTTCAGAATAATTAACTAATCACTCAGGTGCTCGACCCTCCTTCTTCTTTACCCGTGCTTAAAAAACAAGTGAAATTTTACACGTCCAGAAAAATTAATATTCATCTGACGTTTACACTGCCTGGCAGGATTGTCAGTCTGCGCTAGTAGGCGTTACGTGCATTTCGTCATTCTGC